AAGGTCGTGAAATCATTTTTTAAATTTTTATATCATACATCACTCATGCACAAATGATTTATACAATGAGCAAACACGAATCCGGTAGCCCGCTTATATTTTATTATCGTTGAAATGAAAATTTTTACAGCAATGAAATATTATTCTAAATAGAATTCCTTGGACGGATTTTCATATTTTTTTATTTATAATTCAGATGATTCCAACGAATTATATAAACGCATACAACAATTCAAGGTACTTTCGACTCCTAACTTAATTGACTTTGATAGCCAGTTTTTTTGTGTCGAAGTCGGTGGTTATTATGCCGGTACTGTGGCTTCCTGTATAAATAATATCTGACCACCACGAAATAGACAAGAGTGGCATGTATCATCGTGTCCAAGTTTAGAACATACACAACAGTCCCTCACTTCGCTCATTCAAGATAGCTACGGACCGTATACACTAGATCGTCTTCGTCGTCATTGTTGCTCTCTTTCGATGCGGGAATTTCCAACAATTTCCTGTATAAATTGCAGAATAGTTTTAAAACGGTTTTCGACTCACAAACCTCTCTTTTAGGATCAAAGAAACGGCAAAACAGTTTGTTCACAGTTACCTAAACTTGAATCGGAATGGTATTAATAAAAAACAAATGAAACAATTTTTGAGTGTGGATTACGCTTCATATCTATTTGTATACTAGTATTATAACTCATAAAACAACGACAAATTTTGAAAAATACCTAAGGGGAGGTTGAGCGCCCTCAATCATGTTTAACCCCGTCACATTCTTTATGTGCCTGTCCCAATTCAAGAGTTCAGTGGTTTTCTTTGGTTCATGTCTGTCATATTCGTTTTTCGTGAATTGTTTTTTTTTTAAATTAAGCAGATAGTTTTCTCAATTGAATTCTTTCATATTTTTCATGTTGGGGGCCTTTTATAACAGACTATATGGTATGGGGTTTTCTCATTGTTGAAGGCCATACGGGTACCTATAATTGCTTACGTCCACTTCACTGAGTCATTTAAACTTTGGTGGATAGTTGTCTCATTAGCAATCGTACCACATCTCCTTATTTTTACATCGCGATGATCGTGAGGTCATTTCGATGTATTGCTATCGCCTAAATTTCCATTATGCAAATTAGTTTTGGGTTTTCAACCGATCTATAAAAATTATAGATCCGCGGTCATTGTCTAGTGCAAAATAACATTACTTATCGCTTGTTTCAAATTCATTTTTTCAATGGATACTCCTATAAATATTTTTATTAAAACACAAATTAATAATATGAAAATGTGTTGTCGTTAGTTATATATATAAAAGTAAAAAATCATTGATGATATCTATGCACACGTACCGAAAAATTGTGTTAAAGCTTACGGAAGAATATCTCAAGAACGTTTTGCGACACTCCCGACAAGGACCGATAACTCTGTTATTGTTTTGCGGGAAAATATGAATGGCTTCTCATATCCAATCTTTTAGAAAAATCAATTTTTTTTACAGAAGAGTGTCCACCATGCACTTGCACTGCACTATAATTAGAATAGTAGAATAGAATGATATACAAATAGATGAAAATTATATATACATGCAACCGTAATATTAATATAATACATAACAACAAACCAGTGTATACTCTGGGACTATTATTATATTAGTATTATAATAGTCCCAGGTATACTGATTTGTATCACTACACTGATATAATAGTTATTACGGTGCGGTTGAATTTCCTGTCATTTATTCATCACCCATGTACGAACTTGAATCAGAAAAAATAATATATCTCTGTAAATTAACCTCAGTTTCAGGTATAGAGATGTGATCTATTTCTGTGATATGTGCTTTTGACCATCCATAAGAACCTGCGGTCATCCGATGTTCAGTACTTTAGTACTTTGATTATATTATACCTTTTCCGGGAACTTGACTGTTGTCAATTTCTTCGGGTAAACTATTATCACTTGTACTGCAGATTTAAAAAAAAAATCGTTTAGTCTGTGCGAATGATAAAAGACGTACTAGTAGATAGATTGAGGAAATGAATATGGTATTATAGACACCAAGTCAATTAAAGGTGTCTTCTAGATATATGACTTGTATAACAAAAAGGAGACATTTATAGAGATTACTTTAATCTCTTCACATTAAGAAAATTGTATGACAAGTTACTTGTAAGACTGCAAAAATATTTTATTTGAGTGGGTTTTGTAGCTGCTTAAATGTAGGCTCAACATATAGCTCAATTTTGGTAATTTCGTGTGCCTTATAAATTGATGAACGGACTCCGGAAGGATCAAATGACCGATGAACATCTTACATATATAGTTGTTATCTTGTCGCCTTGATATTACTGTACAAGCATTCGTGCTCTCTGTGGACAACTTTAAAGTTTAACAGAATAGCACAACTTTTTATCAATGCATCTACGACTTTGTTCTATTATTTCGTTTAATATATTTTACATCATGTTCAGTTCCTGTCTCGGGACGATTTTCGAACAGTCAGAGATACATGATTCGCAAATCGAAACGATTTCATGACATGTACTGTTTTAATCAGACTGGGTCTCCGCCTAACTGGTCATTGATGAGTTCCTAACCAAGCGCATGTTGTATACTATGCCTATGGGCGACCATTCGATCTTCTGTGGAAGGAGGGGGAGGAGATTTCTTCCCGGATATTCGTTTTCATTTCTTGCTAGTACGAATTATTTTCACTCACACTTATTTCCTGCATTGTCCTGCACTTTGTTGGACAAAATATTCATTTCTCCCCGTCTTTTCCAAAGTTATTTACAAAGCCAGAATATTAATTTCCAAAATCCTACGGCCCCCGTGACCCATCTTCAGAATATCAAATGGTCATTCCCTAAGGAATTGAATTCGTTGACAGTCAACCGGTATTCATGACTTTGTTTTGGCTGTGGCACCTTCGCTGGTGCATAAGTTCACAAAGGAATGTTATATACTTCCAGAATGTAGGATTACAATGTCATTTTCAATACTACGTAACTTGAAGAATTGTGTTCTTTTAAATTATAATTCATAAATATGCCCATTTTGATTAACGCTTGATAAATTATACGCTTCCGCAGCTCTTTTCTGGATTAATCTTCATCGGGAATGTTCAAAACCAAATATTTAAAAGCCAAGGATGTATAAGAAGTGAAAATATGTAGACCTATAGATATGACTAAAAAATAAAATATAAAAGCAAAATCTATATACGGTCAACTTGATTTACCTTAGTGAAATCATCAACAATATAAAAATAAGAAGATATGGTATGATTACCAAAAAGACAATTATCCATCAGAGACAAAATGACGTAGATGTAAGAAACTGTAAACACAGCACGGCCTCCAACAATGAGCAAAACCCATATCGTACAGTAAATTATAAAGGTTCCCAAAAATGCGAAAAAATGTGAAACATTTCAGACAACAGACCCCCCCCCCCCCCCCAAAAAAAAAATTAAAAAAAAAATGGACAGCTTGATTTACGTATTACAGAATAAACAAAAATCAAATATGAAAGACATGTATATGGAAGCCACAACACTGATTTACATGACATCATCATAACGTCATAGAAATAGCTAAATGACGTCATGAAATTAATGAAAAATGAAAACAGAATGAAAGACAATAGACAACTTTCGAGTTCGATGCATTTCCGTCAAAAACTCTGGTTTAAGTGAACATCATTCGTGCGTTTAGGGGCATCGTCACTCCCTTTCCAATGTTGAACGAGTGGTTGGAAAAGTATAATGCTATATATTGCACGAATTATTCGGCAAATTAAATTCTCATAATTGACAATCAGCACTGCTGTCATTAAGGAATTGTGATTAAGTACTTACAAAACAAACATTATTTCTAATTTATCCTGCACAATGACGATCACTAAGACGCTTGAAGAACGTTAATAGTGCAGGGATACAGGCGATCCCCTCTATCTGGTAAATGACGTCATAAAGGCGCGCATAATTGACGAGTTTTTCCCGGCGAAGGATGAACTCGAAAGTGGTCTATTGACAGGACGGCATTATAATATGCTCTCATAGCTGAATTCATTGTTTATTAAAATAACGTTAAACATCGGCCCGATCGGCCCTTTGGCAGTTAAAGAACACCTAAATCGGCCCAATCGGCCTTTTGGCAGTTAAAAAGGCAACGTCAATCGGCCCGATCGGCCCAATGGCAGTTAAAGGTAACGTCAATCGGCCCTGATCGGCCCGTTGGCAGTATAAGTGTTAAGGAGATATGAGCAGTCCAGTATAATTTTGATTTTATCATTTTCAGTAAGGTATTCCATTTCTCTACTAGTCAGATTATGATACTCCTTCTTAAGATCCTCCAAAGATGCTTTTCTAATTGTTTCTAACAATGTACATTTCAATAGAAAAATGAGGTAAATCTTCAACTTCTTGTCCGCACAGAAGGCAGGTAGCTTCAACATTATTCGGATTAAATTTGGATCTGTTTTCTTGGAGAATGTACGTACCAGATACTAATTTTAACTTAATAGGAAGACGGTTTATATAAATAAATGTCTATTGAAGATGATGTTTGGATAAATATTAATGGGTGTTGTTTTTCAGGGTGGTATACTTCAACATTTAAATAACTTATATTTCTATATAGCTTGGAGATATCTGTATAGTAATTTTTCAAATATTTATTTATATTTTTATACATTAAGTTTTTCCACTGATTTTTGATATATGGAGTGTCTAAAAGTAGATAAATTTCCGGAAGATCATATTTCCAAATGATTTTCTTTACTTCTATGAACCAACTGTGACTATTTTGGTCTTTGACAACTCATTGTCTTCTGGCTATTTGTTTTTCAGTTGACAATTAGTTGTCAAAGACCAAAAAAGTCACAGTTGGTTCATAGAAGTAAAGAAAATCATTTGGAAATATGATCTTCCGGAAATTTATCTCAGCGATGACATGCCCAGCGATGATTGCGCTGTTGACCCCTATTGTCTCATAGCCAATCACAGTGGGGTTGTATTCGTTTATTGTTAACTAGCAACAGCGAGCAAAGCCTTGTTTTTATATTTTATAACAAATTGTCGAAACTAACATTTTACCTAGTTGTCCAGAAGTGTCTTATCACAGTAAGTGTAACATCACACTATTTAAACAAGTCGGCATTTTTTACTACACACTACATTAATTTCATTAACGGTATTATTTCCTGGGCCATACATGCCTAGGCATAGGCCATGATAGGGATAATGATGGCCCAGAACCACGGTGCCCAGAACCTACATAAACATTTAACTGAAGTACTTTCATTATGATATTCAGAAATAAATGTTAATATGTATGATAACCGTGTACTTTTTCTGCTATCTTTATAAACCTCAGGCCACTAGTGCTCTTCTTCCATGTGTTTATATCCCATAGGCATAGACATAGTATATCATTAAGAGAGAACCAAGTTACAGTGAACTACGTTTAATAACAGCATGGTTATCTACAATGTTTACATGAATAGGGGTGGAAGTACCAGTGTGCATGTATTAAGGTTCATGTGGACCCTTTGGCTAAAATGGCTGCATTTTCACCTCAAAATTTACTCTGAGGACAGACAAACCTGCGCATCTGGAAAAGTTTTAAGGCATAGCATGCCCTAGATAAATAAACTTCTAATGCATTGTATGTTTTAGAAAATTTAAAACTTAACTGGATTTAGCAGTGCACTTTTTTTCGTCCCTGCAGAAGATGATAAAATTAACAAACAGTTGAGTTTCACTTGAAATGGTCCACTCAGGTACACAGTTTGAATCACCAATTATTGTCAGGTATCTATTGTCCATCTATTGTCCATGTCAATCAAAACAGTTCACTTCAATTATTACCTGTGGGGAAGTTCTCAAACCTCTTTCCCAACTTTGTTTATTTTGGCACCTTCTGGTGGAATGAAAAAAAGTGCACTGCAAAATCCTGTTAAGTTTTTAATTTTCTAAAACATAAAATATATTTGAATTTTAGTTATCTAGGGCATGCTATGCCTTAAAACCTTTCCAGATGCACAGGTTTGTCTGTACTCAGAGTAAATTTTGAGGTGAAAATGCAGCCATTTTAGACGAAGGGTCCACATGAACCTTAATGAGGGGCCTGATGGGGGGGGGGGTCTCATCACGATTCACGAGTTGATTTTTTTGTCAATCACGTTTCACAGAAAATAAATTTCCATGATCACGGATCACGAAAATATGAAAAAAAAAAAAATCTGTAAAAAAACGGATCACGATAGCGAAAATGCGCCGATCACAAAGAACGAAAATAACCCATCTGGCCCCTCATTAATTCACCGTTTTCACGTGCATTATCAAAGTACTGAGACTACTATATGTATTACATCCTTTCTTTTTTCAACTTGAAGCTTATATTGATTTATCAGAAAATCTAAACTCAAAATAATTACTGAACAAAATTTATCAAAGCAAGGTACAGGTCACTGTGTGAATTTTTTGCCTTTCTCAATAGACATTTTGCTGTTTTCACTGCGTTTTCGACTTTCCCATTAGATTGTGCATGTCCCGGATAAGTTGTTTTATGTTGAGAATCCCATTGTTTGCTGAACTGTTTCGACGAATATTGCCGTCCATTGTCTGATATTACTTTTTCAGGAATTCCCCATCTAGCGAAACGTTGTTTCAGTTTATTGATTACTGCTCTGACAAAGTATCATAAATCTATCCACCTCAAAAAAACTACTGTAGTAATCTACGGTAATTAAGTAGTCATTTCCTGATAGAGTGAATAGATCAGTCCCTATTTTAGCCCACGGTCTCGATGGCACGTTGTGTGACTATAAAGTTTCTTTCGGTTGTTTCATAGCAAATGACTGGCACACATCGCATTAACTGATGTAGTCTCTCAATTCTGAATTCATTCTCGGCCAGTATATGCATTCTCTTGCATGTTTTAAACATCCTTCAATGTCAATATGTGTATGGATCTGGCTCATTACATTTGGTATTATACATCGATCACCTTTGAATATAATGCCGTTTTGTACTGAAAGTTCATCACCTATGTTATAGAATGGATCTATTTCACTCAGGTGTTGAGAATTATTCCAGCCATTTTCAATGGTTTTGATAAGCTGTTGTAGTGTTTAGTCTTGTTGAGTAGACTGTGCTTTAAGTTTTTGTCTTTCTTCCGATATTGCCAAATAGTCAGTCATATTTATCTGTTCAACTTCAACTTCTATATCTGAGCGCACCAAAAGTATTTCATCCTGTTTTTATACGACCGCAAACAAATTTTGAGGTCGTATATTGGTATGACGTTGGCGTCGTCGTCGTCGTCGTCCGGCGTCGTCGTCCGAATACACAATGGTTTTCGCACTCTAACTTTAGTTTAAGTGAATGGATCTCTATGAAATTTTACCATAAGGTTCAATACCACAATAGGAAGGTGGGGATTGATTTTAGGGGTTATGGTACCAACAGTTAAGGAAAAAGGGGCCGAAAATAAGCATTTTTGTAACTTCCAGACATAACTTGTGTGTTAGCATATGGATCTCTTTGACATTGTACCACAAGATTCCATATCACAAAGGGTCAATGCTGGGATTGATTTTGGGGTTAATTGCCTCAAAATTTTAGGAATAAGGGGCCAAAAGGGGGCAAAAAACAAGCATTTTTCTAGTTTCATGACAATAACTTGTGTGTAAGTGTATGGATCTTTCTGAAATTTTACTACAAGGTTCCATTTCACAAAGGGAAAGCTGGAATTGAGTGTTGTGGTAATTGCCCAAAACGTTTAGTAATAAGGGGCCTAAAAAGGGGTTTAAAATAAGCATTTTTTAGTTTCTAGACAATAACTTGTGTTCAAGTGTATGGATCTCTCTAAAATTGTATTACAAGGTACCATACCACAAAGGCAAGGCTGTTATTGAGCTTGGTTTGGGGGGAAAGGGGGGTGGGGGGTGATGAATCATAAGGGGGGCGGGGGTCAAAAAAGGGGTAATTTTTTTTTTTCCTTTTTTTTTTGTTTAAAATTTACATTTTAAGTTAGTTATTTTTTATCACGAAGAGAAAGTAGGAATTGAGTTTTGGGGTTAATTGCTCAAACATTTATGAATAAGGGGCCAAATATTGGTCGAAAATAAGGATTTTTTAGTTTGCAACAAAAACTTGTGTTCAAGTGTATGGATCTCTGTGAAATTGTATTGCAATGTACCATACCACAAATTGAAGGTTGTGATTGAGGTGGGGGATGATGAATCAAAAGGGGGTTGAAAAAATGTGTGGGGGGTAGGATTTTTTTTTTTCCTTTTTTTTTCTTTAAAATTTTCCATTTAAAGATGGTTGTTTCAGATTTATATATGAAAGAAAATAATAATGATACGGTTATATATCATGAGGAACTGAAATTTAAAATTATGTATATTGGAAATTTAGGTTACATTGGAAAGTAATAATTGGCTTTGGGGGTGGGGGGGGGGGGGTGGTTATGGCTTTAATGTTTAAGGAATAAGGGGAAAAAAGGTTAAAAAACAAGGGTTTCCATTTTAATAGACAAATAATTGAGTAAAGAACATTATTTAAAAGCAGTGTAAGGTTGGTAATTCAAACTCATTTAAATATCTCATCTACACTGCTTTTAAATTATGTAAATTGGAAATTTGCCAATAACTTTATTGTTAATAAATGCATTGGAAATTTGCCAACAATTTTAGTGTAATAAACTTCATTGGAAATTTGCCAATATAAAATTTTGCTGATGAAGGTTTTTTGTTTACCTTTAGCCTTGACTATGAAGTCATTTTCTATTTTTATAGCCTTATGATGTAGTTGAATTATTTAATACTTTTATGATGTGTTTAAATGGGGTTTTATCATGTTTATGGTTGCAAATTTATTGTTTTAGTATAATAAACTCCATTTAAAATTTGCCAATAAAAAAAATTTTTGTTTATTTTTAGCTATGATTATGATGTCATTTTCTATTTTACTTTTATGGTTGCAAAGAAATTTTTATTTTTAGATATTACTGTTAAATGATGCTGATTAAGGTTTTTGCTATGTTTAGCCATGACTATGATGTCATTTTCTATTTTAATATCTGTTATGATGTATTTAAATGGGCTTTTATGGTTACAAAGGAATTTTATTTTTAGATATTACTATAAAATGTTGCTGATGCTGATTAAGGATTTTGTTTATTTTTAGCCATGACTATGATGTCATTTTCTATTTTAATACCTTTATGATGTAATTTCCATTTTTAGATATTACTGTTAAATGATGCTGATTAAGGGTTTTTTGCTATGTTTAACCATGACTATGATGTCATTTTCTATTTTAATATCTTTATGATGTATTTAAATGGGCTTTTATGGTTACAAAGGAATTTTATTTTTAGATATTACTTTAAATGTTGCTGATTAAGGATTTTTGTTTATTTTTAGCCATGACTATGATGTCACTTTCTATTTTAATACCTTTATGATGTATTTAAATGGGCTCCCATGTATTTAGATTTTTGATTATTTATACATGTTACCAAATTGGTCCACATTGAACAAAAACGGTCCAAATTTCAACTTTATTACATTACATCAAACATTGAATTCTACATATTCTTTGATATATTGAAATTAACAAACAATTTAGTTTATGGATATTCCACCATAATAGGTAAATTAAATTTTTTCCAGTTCTTACACCACATTCATCCTGTGTCAGAAACCTATGCTGTGTCAAATATTTAATGACAATCCAAAGTCATAGCTGTATCAAGCTTGAATTTTGTGTCCATACTTGCCCCAACTGTTCAGGGTTCGACCTCTGCGGTCGTATCAAGCTGCGCCCCAGCGAAGCATTTTATTTTAAATCATTGCCATCAGTTTTTCTCAAATACGCTCTAGATAATGTATCTGCTATATACATTGTACATATATTTGCCCTGTTTGTACTTAAGTTCTATATCATAACGCTGTAGTCTCAGAAACATTCTTTGTAACCTTTTAGGAGCATGATATAACGGCTTTTTGTACAAACTTTTGACAGGTTTGAGGTCGCTTTCGTAAGCGATAGGGTGACTTTCCTGCATTAGGGTAGCGCCTAATCCCTTTTCTGAATCATCACATTGTAGC